TATTATTTAGAGGTAAAGAAGAGATAAGAAGTAGATTAGATTATACTTCGTTTAGTATATTAACCTATTAACTTTTTATATATTTCTTACTTAAGGATATTAAGGGTTATTAGAGGCTTAGAATAAGCGATTAAGTAGTAATCTTATAAAGAAGAGTTACTAGCTAACCGGGCTTATAACTATCGAACGAAAGGAATAGAGTAAGTGACTTAATACTAAGTTCTTATTATATAGAGTAAGTAGTAAAATAAGTATTAATTCTTAGAAACCTCTAGATAAAAAACTCTGACCTTAGTTAGACTTCCAGACCGCTCTTCTAATATCTAGTAGAAGTATAGACCGCTTGTCCTTTCTGACCGAGGTTAGAAACTAGGACTATAGGCTGCTAAGGGCTTGCTAACAACAAGAAGTGGGTCCTGCTTATGTACAAAGAGAAAAACTGGTAATGGCGGGACGGGCAAGGAGTCATTCTGGTCGACAAAAAGTAAATACTAAATAGTTATTAGGAAGTTCCTAGTATTAGTTAAGAACTAGCTAAAGATCGAGATTAGAATATTCTACTATAATAATAAGCGGAGTACGGGTCTCGAGGTTAAAATAATAATAGAAGCCGAGGGATATATAATTAAGTATTCGCTATCTAGCTTACCGGAGATAAATAGTCCTACCGAGAGATCTAGGAGGATAGTAGTAAGAACTACTAGAGTTCTAATTAATAATATAGATCTCCCTAAGACTCTCTAGCCTAAGGTAATATATATAGCGGTATATATCCTAAATAGGACTCCTACGTAGATTAAGGATAATACCGGTAAGAATTAATAGATTATACCTTAGAAAGAACTAATAAAGTATACCGCACTAGATAGTATCTATTACTAAGAGATTAACCTTTTAAATATAAGGTTATATAGCTATCTAACTGTCAGATGAAATACAGGCTATGCAGGAATGAATGTTAACCTCAAAGGATTAGATTTGTAGACTCTGGAGAGGAAAAGAAAGAAAGAGAAGAAAAACTAGCTACTGTCTAAACAATATCCTGAGTTCTGTGGGTCAGGATCACCTGCGGCCCCACATGGCCGTCACGTGACTCCAACACTAACGTACTCGAGAATTATTAAGAGAGTATAGTCGGATAAGATAGCACCTAGAGTAGAGATAGGATATCTCGTAGGGTATATCTCTAAGAACCTATATAAAGTATAGTTTCCCTATAAAGGACGTACTAGTATAGGAAGGGTAGACGTCGTTAGAGATACCGTTTTCGATAAATTAAAGAGGTATTCGAAATCGACGTCGATACCTAAGGAAGAAGATACTATTAGTACTATAATAGATAGACTAAGTATCTAGAACTAGCCGTAGGTACTTACTAATAATAAAGTATAGGCTAAGATTAGTACCTAGATAGAGATACCTAGATCGATAGCTAGGATAGCAATATATAATAAAACTAAGTATACTAAGTAAGCTAGAGTTAATATAGTTGATGTAGCTGATAATATAGCTAATAATGCAGTTGATACAGCTAATGCTGTAGTTAATATAGATAATGAAGATGATAAAGAGGTTAGGTAGAGAACCCCACTATAGGTTAGAAAGGAAGCAGCTAGATTGCCTACCCCGTAATCAATAATTAGACTAAGGGAGATTAGACTAAGGGAGCAAATAATAGGAGAGCAAATAAATCTATAGAGAGGCCTACTAGGAAGCTTCCTAGATATACCATCCTCCCCACTACCATCAAGGCCATCAAGATCATCAATATCACCATCAAACCCTCCGATTCCATCAAATCCATCGATTCTATCGAATCCGGAGCCCCGAGAAGCACTATCATCGTCGCTAGATCCGATCTCCGTGATCCCGTCGATCGAAACTAGGGGGGTAGATAGGGATATGGAAGTAAGAGATAATGAAGTAAGTGATGACGAAGTAGAGATAGAGAGACAGCTACAAAGGGAAATAGCATACTCGTCGTCACCGGCACTATCACCATCCCATCGAGAGCAGTCCCATCGAGAGCAGTCCCATCGAGAGCAGTTCCATCGAGACTCTGCGTCAGAGGTGATCTTCAATGGATGTCGACAGAAGAGAAAAGGGCAGCTACCCTAGCTGTCAAAACAGCGAGAGCAATCTTTGCCTTAGTGGCAGCTTTTGACCTCGACATGATACAGAGAGACGTGGTCAATACATTCCTAAACTTAGTGCTCCAAAGTAAGGTTTATACTAAGTGCCCGTAAGGATTCGAAGCATAAGGTTAATACTAGCTACTCTATAGAGCTCTCTATAGCTTACGAATGTCACTAAGATTGTAGTAGTAAGAAGTAATAAGGATACTAGTAAAACTAGGCCTTACCCCGGTGCCGGAAGATCCGTATATCTTTATTAAAAATAGTATTATCGTCTTCTTCTATATAGACGATATTATCGTTATAAATCATCTAAAGTATACTAAGTAGGTAGCTAAGCTAGATAATAATATTAAGAAGTAATAGGAATTACGAGAACTAGAAGCAAACTAGTTCTTAAATATCCGTATTATTAGAGATAGAGATTAAATAAAACTCTAGCTATACTAAGATAGTTATATTAAAAGTATAGTAGCTAAGTATAGCTTAATTACTACTAGGAAAGTAGGATCTCCTCTAGCTACTAAACCCCTTCTTCCGTACGATAAAGTAGTATTACCGAGCTAGATTTATAGTTTTTAGGCTAAGGTTAGATCTATTTAGTATACTACTACTATCTCCCGGCTAGATATAGTAAAAGCTATAACTAAGCTAGCTAAATTTCTAATAAACCCCGGTCTAAAGTATATCGATACTATCGACCGAGTGATTTAATATCTCTATAAAACTAGGTTCTAGGCTATTAAATATAGTATTAGAGAATAATTAAACTAAGGTCGATAAGATCGATAAGAATTAGACTAAAAGACGTCTTCTCTATAAGACTAAGATAAAAACCTTAGTTTAGACGAAATAAAGGATCTCTAGTTTACTATAAAGTTAGTTAAATTTGTAAGCGATATATCTTTCGGAGATAATAAAGATAGGAAGAGTTCGGAAGGATATATCTATAAGTTATACAGCGGTCTAATCGATTAGAAAGTATCGAAGTAAAAGACGGTAATAACGTCGATAACTAAGGTAGAGCTTCTCGCTCTAGTAGAAGCCGGAAAAACTATCTAATAGTAGCGTAGAGTCCTTAAAGTACTAGGCTTCTAACTAGATTATCCCTTATCTATTATATACGACAATTAGTAGATAGTCGATCTATTAATAAAGGAAGGATCGACGATATATACGAAGCTACGGTATATAGATATCAATCGATCCTAGATAAAGTAAGAAGTTAGTATAGGTAGAGTTAATATAGACTAGGTTCTAACTATAGCGATGCCTATAGATAGACTTATAAAGGCGCTTCTAAGATAGAAGCAGTATCTCTTCCGAGAGATGATTAGGATGAGAGAAATCAGGCATCTGATCTATCTAGAAGAAGTGGAAAAGATGTGAAGAAATGAAGGAATTGGCAGTTCTTAAAGCTAGGAAAATGTAAGCTTTAGGAATTGGCAGCTCTGAAAGCTAGGAAATTGCAGGCTTTAAGAGCTAGGGGGTGTGTCAAATTGCAAGGTTGCATACATGGGATGATACCATACAGATTATGTAATCTAGCTTAGTCATAACCGCACAGAAACAGCAGTTTCTATTATGTAGAAAATGCAGAGTTCTCCATATCAGCCCTGAGGTCCATACATTTCAATACGTCAGATTTCTGTCATTATACCCTAAACTCGGTGAGTATATTATATAAGTAGGTGTTAGAGATCACGTGACGGCCATGTGGGGCCGCATGTGATCCCGTTTGACAGGACTCATAGTTTAGACCGTAGCCAGTTTCTCTCTTCCTTTCTTTTCCTCTCCAGAGTCTACAATACAATTCCCCTAGAATTAACATTCATTCCTACGTAGCCTACACTCTATCTAACACCTACCCCGATTATTTAGCCCGGCGGTTGGTTTTGCTTCCGGAAGCTATTAGGAGAGTGCTTTAGAGCGTTGAAGACGACTTCGTCTCTAAAGTGAAACAGTTTTTGCACGCGGAGTTCAAAAGTACTTAGGGGTCGTCCGCGTATCCTACCTACAACATCAAGCGCATAGCGAACTGCGCCGTCTCGTAAAAAGAGTAGAAGTTGATGACTGATGCTGATGGTATGTGGAAAGAATGGAGCTTTGGAAGAGACAGATGATTGGTACTGCATATGCCGGCAGATATTGATTGTAAGATACATCCTTGGATCGTCGCAACACGCTAAACATTCTTTAGGGAGGATGAAGCGCCACACCCAGCCCTTCGGACTAAATGATCTATCTTGCCCACCATCCCCTAGTTTTGTCGCCTACGAAGCCTATTTAGGCCGTTGGCATCGTCAGGCTAGAAAACCAAGAGATTGTGCCCGCAGTGGAGGCAACTCACACCGAGGTCCAAATGTTACTCCCTGCGATACGACTGGAACGACCGCGGGAAAGCAATCCACTTACATAATTTCGCCGATCCAATTTTATCTTTTTCCAACCTCAATCCTCTATCCTCGTTTACGAGACTGCCAATACCCCTTTATTTTCGTTTAGGTGTAACAGATGTCTGCCGGCCGGAGGATGCCGCCCGGAAGGTGCTTGTCTCTGAACGTGAAAGTGCCAACTGTTCGCCTACTATGCCTTCGTTATCCACCCGAATCGAGCTTCCATTAAGCACCTTCTTGGCTGCTGGACGGTGACCGCCGATGGCCGAAAATTCAACCCCGGATTTTTGACCCCGGATTCGCAAGCCACCATACTCGCTGCATCAATGGTCACCATCTTGCATATCAAAACCACACTACGATATTATTGATATAATAGCGTGCGGCCGCTTATCACTCAGTTAATTTCACATTCACTCCTCCCAATCCACTCTCTTCATCCTTCTTCTATCTCTTGTACAATTCCAGCATGGGGTCGAAGCCGTTTATGGGCCTTCGCGGCAATGCACTGCTCAGAGCAGCAGTCGCACTGGTCGTATTCCCAACCTTCACCTGCTATGGCTACAATATGAGTGTGGCCGGTGGCCTTTTGACACTCGAGGCCTTCAATGAGCAATTCCCTCGCATGAACACTGCCACCACGTCGGGAGATGTGAAAGCGCAGAACTCGTCAATTCAAGGTCGGTCAATATGAAGACAACGTCTCTATATTTCTGTATATCCTAATAATCTCTGCGTGAATAGGCACAGTGATTGCTCTCTACACCGTCGGTGGTATCTTTGGCGCCTTGTCATGCGCCTATCTTGGTGATAAACTAGGGCGTAGGAAGGTCATGTTCGGGGCCAATTTGGTTACCATGATTGGCTGCATTATCATGGCAACCTCCTTCGATTTCGCCCAGTTTATCGTCGCAAGACTAGTTCTTGGTGTGGGTATTGGTGGATACACCGCTACCGTGCCAGTCTGGCAGTCTGAGATCTCACCACCACACAAACGAGGCTCGAACGTCGTTACAGATGGCATTTTTGTCGGTGCCGGCGTTAGCTTAGCACTCTGGATTGATCTCGGACTCTTCTACGTGAAAACCAACTCCGCATCATGGCGATTCCCTCTTGCCTTCCCCTGTGTTTTCTGTATCGTAGCTATGGCTTCCATCCCATTCCTCCCGGAATCCCCCGTTGGTTGATCATGACCGGCCAAGTTCAAGAGGCCCGGAATGTGATGTCGGCTCTTCTCGAGCTAGACCCCGATTCGGAAGAAATCACGACTATTGTTAATAACGTTCAAACCACTCTCGCTGTCTGTGGAAATACTGACTGGAAAGCTTTATTCACAAATGGCCCGCAGCGTCTCTTCCACCGTGCATACCTCGCCTGCACAGGTCAGTTCTTCCAGCAGATGTGCGGTGTGAATCTGATTACCTACTACGCGACAACTATCTTCCAGGTGAGTGAATGCTGTTGCCTTCTCGTTTTACATACACCTGGCTATGCTGGATTCCCGGATGCCACTTATGTCTACGCGTGTATCATTGACTGACAGCGCCCTAGACGTATCTTGGCCTCGACGAAGTGAGGTCCCGTATCCTCGCCGCATCAATGGGTCTGACGCAGCCATTCGGCGGCCTGCTCGCATTTTATACTATCGATAGTCTCGGTCGCCGACCACTCATGATTTGGAGTGGAGCAGGCATGGCTTGCTGCATGGCTATTCTTGCCGGTACAACGTCGCCACCAGCTGCGGACAACACTGGTGCCCTGGTAGTCGCCGTCATTGCGCTTTTCTGTTTCCAGTTTATCTTCACTGTCGGATACTCCGGCCTGACTTTCCTATACGCCGCCGAATTGGCTCCTCTACAGGTCCGTGCGACCGTCAGTGCCCTCTCCACTGCCACTGTGTGGGTTTTCAACTTCATGATAGCCCAAGTGACTCCCGTCGGCTTCGACAGCATTGGCAATTACTACTACGTTATCTTCGCGGTTATCAATGCCACCATTGTGCCATCCGTGTTCTTCTTCTTCCCCGAGACCAAGGGTCGGTCGCTTGAGGAGATTGACGAAATCTTTGCCCAATCGAACAACATCTTTGACCCACCTCGCGTGGCACGTCGCATGCAGAATGCTATCCGCGCCGGTACCTCCGATCGGCCGGGCTCGGGAAGCGGCGGTGAGCAAGACTACGTGAAGGAAGAGCTCAAGGCTTAAGTCTAGACCCGGCGTGTTTCTGATGAGCTTTACCATGTCTGATATGAACTTTTGGAGATCATTCATTTGTTTTATCGGAACAGCGGAGGTTGAAGGCTCGTCACTATGGAAACTTCGGTAAATTGGACACGCTATACCCACCGAGAGCCCTTCCCTGCATGGAGGGACAGAATGGAATGTCAATGAAATGCTTACTGCATAATCACTGAGAATTTTAAATTTGGTTATAAAGTGGATGCTATTCCACTCTGGGCCAGCGTTTCCATAGTGACCAAGATAAATTTTTCTAGCGGAAGCATGTGATAAGGTACCGAACGAATGGCTTGAGTAAAATTAGCCATACGGTAGGCTTTATGCCTTACGAAGCCATCACTTCAGGCGGCGATTGAGTCACTCGACCTTACCCTAATTCAGCTCTTATATCACAGAGAGCGCAAGAATCAAAGTAATTTTACCGCAGAGACAACCATGTTACTGAGAGATTTAGACAAGCAAGCAATCAAGAATACCCGGTTGGCTCCTACTATGCCTCGGCAACGACGGATCATATTTCAACCAATCCCAGATCGAAGTGACGGCAATTGCCTTCTAGGAAGTGGTGTCCCAAGTTAATGCAATCAACCATATTCTACTGATAAGAGAACACGGTTAAAACCCGATTGAAACCCGATTGGGTTCTAGCAGTGCCGTCTGAAACGAATTTCCGTTAGGTGATATCCCCGCAGGAGTACTAGTTCGCTCGTATTCGTAGTAGACAATCCGGCCATGCTTCCAAAAGCAACCACCATATGAGCGTTGATTGACGGTGGAAAATTTGCTCCAGGATCTAGGGCTAGTCCAAGAGGTCCTATAAACATTCCGATTCGATATTGTTTCGGACACCAAAGTCTTTACAGTGGCTGCCTGGCCGAACAGTGACATGCCCACGTATCCTCCGCAGCGCGGTGGGCTCGACGGATATATGATTTATTCTCAAAAAAAACGGTCGAAATAGGGGATATAGGGAATCCGGATTTCCTGACAAATGCGTGATATATTAGGAGACGATATGAACGGATTAAGAATACGCGGTCAACTTGACTAACCTACAGCTGCAGTAACATCCAGGGTAAATGGTCTTTGCACATAGTGCTTCAGCTTAGATGGGAAATGCGTGTATAAGAACCAACCGGGTACACCACAACACTTTTGACAGCCCTCATAATACAGCTTCCTATATGCCCGAGGTGATTCTTAGGCAGTGAGCTCTTATTGGCTTACCTATACCCCGGTCTTACCCTCTCGGTTTGTACCTAAGATGACCAATATGAAATTGTAGGCTAAGAATGAGAAGACTCTACGTCTCCTTCTGTTAGATGAATTACAGGCTATGTAGGAATAAGATGTTAATCCAAGGGATTGGTATTGTAGACTCTGGAGAGAAAAAGAAGAAGAGAGAGAAAACTAGCTATAGTCTAAATATAAACCTAAGTCCTATGGGTCGGGATTATATATAGCCCTATATAGCTGTCACGTGACCTCTAATACCCCCCTTTAGGACGAAGACTATTACTAAATCTCTTTATCTCTACTAATAAAAACTCTCTATTTTATTTTTCTTATTTTCTATTATTTCCTATATATTAAAAATCTATATCTACCTATAAAATTTAGTATATAGATTAATTAAGACCTAGTATCTAGATAAACTTTATATATATATTTTTATTAAGTACTTTCGTAAATCTATCGGTAACGTTACTCTTTATCTTAACGCGTTATAGATTAATCTTCTTCTAAAAAATAGCGTCTTTAATAAAAAACTATTTTATATTAAGTTAATATATATTATTCTTATATAATTTCTTACTTATTAGTAATTATATATTAATATTATCTATTAAAATAATAATTAGATTATCTATCTTAGAAAGATTAAGTATTTTAATAATCTTTAAAATCTACTAAATATCCTTAATAGATTAATCTAGAATATATTATTTAATAGCTATTAATAATAGTATTATAATATTCTATTTCTTTAAATACTAAATAATAAATATACTACTAAAAAACTAAATAATATCTTCTATTAATTTTAAATTATACTAATTATTATATAAAATATTAATATATATAAAAAATAAGATATTATTTATCTCTTTTAATATTATATTAAGATATATTATATTATTAAAATATTTATAAATAATATAAATTATCTATAAATTATTAATAATTAAAGAAATAGAATAATATTATAATTTTATAATACTAAACTTAATATTAGATTTAATTTTAACTATTAATTAATTAAGTCTATTAATTAAAGACTAAAATAAGATATATCTTTTTTAATTTAGAAGAGTTTTTAGATTCTTATTATTATTATTTTATTTATAGTTTAGAAAAAATAGAATTAAAATTAGAGAATATATCTATATTTCTACTAAATAAAATATTTCTAGATAATATATTTATTATAATATCTAAATTATTCTTTTATTATAATCCTAGATAATAATATTACTAAAAAAATAGGATAATTCTCTTATATTTTTAATTTTAAACTAATCTTTTATTTATTAAAAAATTAACTTAATCTTTTTATTAATTAGAGCTATATTAATAAAATTTTTAATATAAATAAGAAGAAACTATATTAAATAATTATATATTTTAATATAAATATATAGATTATTATTAAAAATATAAAAATTAATCTTAATTAGTCTTTTATTAAACTTTTTATTTTATAAAGCTACTAAATTATAAAAGCTAAATAATACCTACTATAATTAATAAATCTAATCTTTATTTCTAATATTAGATTTAGAATATTCGAAATCTACTAATTATATAATATAAACTATCTTTTAATCTTTATAAGAAGTATTTAAATATATAGCTACTATATTAAACTAATATTATTTATAATCTTTTTATATAATAAATATAAAGATAATCTTTATAAGAACGTTTTAAATAACTAAAATATAAAACATTAAATCCTCCTTCTTCTACTAGTAGTTACTATAAATTACTTAGCGCGCTTTAAAACTATAAATAAAGTTATTTTTTATTATCTTTATTACTAGCTAGTTCTTAAATAAAAGAGTGCATTTAACTAGAACAATAAGTATAGAGAAGGAAAAGAAAAGAAAGGAAAAAGGAATCAATAATAGGACTAAAGATAATATAGGGTGGGTGTTAGATGAAATATAGGCTATGTAGGAATGAATGTTAACCTTAAGGGATTAATATTGTAGACTCTGGAGAGAAAGAAAAGAAGAGAAGAAAAAAACTAGCTACTATCTAAACATTATCCTAAGTTCTATAGGTCGGGATTACCTACGGCCCTATATAGCCGTTACGTGACTCTAATACCCCCCTTTAGGACGAAGACTATTACTATATCTCTTTATCTCTACTAATAAAAACTCTCTATTTTGTTTTCTTATTTTCTACTATTTCCTATATATTACCAGCTACCCGTAAGCGCCCACCGGGGGTAGAAACGTATATAGGTGATATTTTACTAAGCTTAGTAGAAGCAAATCCGGGGCGGATCCGAGCTAAGATAGCCCGTAGGCTATCTTTCTAGCCTATAGCCGGCTCTTTTTCGGGGCCTATAGCGTAGTTTTTATATATAGGATTTTATAGAAGATAGCCGATAGCGGTATTAGGACTATAGGGATATAGCTAGACTATAATTAGTAAGCCGGTTTTTAAAATAATAGATACTAGGGACTATAGATTATATAGATATCGGATAGGGCTAGGTAAATAGTATTAGGGCTATATAAAAGGGGCGCTAATTATAGCGTATTAGATTTAGGCTAATATAAATAGAATTAGAGTTTATTTATAATTAAAAGATATAAAAAGAAGAAATAAAGCCTAGATAAACTATCTTTTATCTTTAGTAGCTATTATTAATTATAATTAGCTTTAATCGACTATTAATTAGTATATCTCTTTTAAAGGATTAGGCGTAGAGTCTATATAAGATTTTTTAGATTTTATAATTAGATAATTAATAAAGATCGGCTATATATCCTAAATTAGATTTATATATATATAGAAGTCTTAATAAAGAGGCTTTTATAATAAGAAGTAAAATATAATAAAATACTTATAGTTCTTAATAAGTTTCTTTAATAATTAGAGGGTAGAGTATATATCTAGAATTAATTAAAGGATAGAGACTATTTATATAAAAGACTATATAATTTAATAAATCTAGCTAAAGAAGATATAAAAAGAATTATATCTTTTATAATTAGATTTCTCTATATATATTAAATATATAATAAAAGAACTAAAATTAAGAAATATTCTTATTAAAAATAAATTAAGATCGCCTTTTAATAAAGAATCTATACTATCTAATTATAAAATAGATAATTTAGAAATATTAATAGCTTTTAAAACTATCGATCTAGCTAATAAGTAGTCTCTTAAATAATATATAATAATAAGTTTAATTACTAATAGACTATAAATAAAAATAAAAAAAAGAGCTAGACTTATAAAAGAAGCTAGATCTATAGAAAGAGAAGTAACTAGACCTATAGTAAGAGCTAAACTTATATTTAGACTTATAATAAAAAAGATAGAGCTAAAGATAGGGATAGAAATAGAGATATAATAATTAATAATATAATAATCCCTTTAATTATTATTAATAATAAAAATAAGGATATAAAGCTAGTATAATAAATAAAGTTAATTATAAAATATAAATAAGTTAGTCTAAATAATAAAAATCTTATAGATAGGACGATAATATAAATACTCTAATAATTAGTTACTAAATAGAAATCTTATATATAAAAAATACTAGTAGTAGATCTTTTTATAAAAGCTTAAAAGTCTATAATAAATATAAAAGTATTAATAAGCTATATTATTAAAGATAATATAAAAAAGATATATAATTATTATTAAAAAAAAATAATCTATTTCTTATATATATAATTATTAAAAATAAGCTAAAAAGCGCTTATACTAATTATTAT